GAGAGTAGCTCTAGGCTCGGACGCACCTGACGTCTTTTATGTAAGGTACGGCAGTCCGGATTTCCTGCGTCGCCAGTCGCGAGACGGAGAGCAGCGGGAACATGGCTGGGGGGCGCGTCCTCGGCGCTCCGCGGTCTCGGATTTTGTGAGCCTATGGCGACTGTGACGCACCCCCTACATTGAGACATGAACCAAGGGTTTGTTAAGACAAGGCGTCCGTGACTCTGATCAAGGGATAAGCGCCAGGAGTCGGTAATGCGAGAGGGTAGAGAGACAGAGAAGGCACGAGAGGTGTGGGCTTTTGGGAGAAGAGGGACTTTGAGGACCTCGATCGGAGCAGATTGAGGCCGAATGCCCCTTGGTTGTGTTTTTGCAAGCACAATTGGTGACGTGTACCTCGTACCAAGAGCTTTGTAACAATAAGTGCCATCTGGCTTCCTGGGCACGAGGCTAGGCGGCTGGGCAGTAGAGGCCGATAACGATAGCGATGGGTGCGACGGAACGGTTCATAGCTGGAAAAGGCATTCGATGCGGGCTTTCGGCTGCAAAGAGCGACTTTTGAGGGAGTTCTGCCCAGTTCGATAGAGGAACAAGATGAATAATAGAAGAGGCTGGGTTGGTGTTTGTGCTGTTTGGGTAAAGACAGGTGGCGGGCAGGTGTTTAGCTGCATTCCAGAGCTCGGGGACCTGGCAAGCCCAGGCGTCATAGATGCCCAGCTGCATACCAAGGGTACCCACCCGGCCGCCTAGACAACCTCCTTGGGCGCCCAAGCTTCCGCCACATGCCGCCCACGGCCGTGGCGTTGGGGCTTATGGGTGTCTTGGGGTGTTGCGAGTCACGCAACGTGCATTCCCGGCATGCAAGACAAAGACAGGACAAGGAACAACCGGACGCAGGACGGAGGAATCAAAGAAAACCCACACCACCTTGGTGACTTTGTGCCCTTGGTGCACCCTTCACCTTCACGGTCCTGCAAGTTCTTTCTCTAGTCGAACCAGCAACCTCATTCTGTACGATAGACTCTCTCTCCTGCTCTGTCGCTCGCGGAATCAACTTTGTCACTCGCTGTTCTGCTCTGTCTGCTCCACCTCTAACGCCCTGCCCGCTCGTCATCTGCGGATCTGGGATCTGCGGCAAGGATCAAGATCGCCCCCACGTCAACCGAGCCAATCCAACGGACCGACATCATTCACCCTCGTATACCGAGTATCAAGAGCAAATAATCTGCTTGGAGATTCTCTGGTAATAGAAGAAAGACAGCTCCTTCTCAGCTGGCTCACTGCCGGCGCGGGTTTTCCCTCCCTCTCACAATCTCTGTTGCAACACAATGAAGCCCTTCCGAAGAAGACCTTGCCTGCATGTGGCATTATCGGCCATCCTAGTGACGCAAAATGCCCTCGCAATCCAACTTGACCTTTCAAGCTCCGACTCGATAAAAGCCGCAGCCAAAACTGTTGCCGACGAGATGGTTTCGTATTACACTGGTTACCGACCTGGAGATGTCCCGGGCAATCTCCCCGCTCCATATTACTGGTGGGAAGCTGGTGCAATGTTTGGAGCGCTCATTGACTACTGGTACTTCACGGGAGATGATTCATACAATGAGATCACCACCCAAGCCATGCTCCATCAAGTTGGGCCCGACAACGATTTCATGCCACCCAACCAGACAAAGACCGAAGGAAACGACGATCAAGCTTTCTGGGGAATGGCCGCGCTCTCTGCTGCAGAGAATGTCTTCCCCAATCCTCCCGAAGACCAGCCACAGTGGCTCGCTCTGGCTCAGGCTGTCTTCAACACGCAGGCGGCGCGTTGGGACACCACCTCTTGCGCAGGTGGGTTGAAGTGGCAGATTTTCGCCTTCAACAACGGGTACAATTACAAAAACACCATCTCGAACGGATGCTTTTTCAACATGGGTGCTCGCTTGGCCGTCTACACCGGAAACCAGACCTATGCCGACTGGGCGGAGCGGATGTGGGATTGGGTAACTGCCATCGGTCTGCGGGACGCGCAATACAACTTCTTTGACGGGAGCGATGATACTATCAACTGCACACAGCTCGACCATATCCAGTGGACGTACAACGCTGGCACATTTCTCGTCGGAGCTGCCAACATGTACAATTTCGTAAGTTTGATATCGACCGACTTTATAAGGGCGGAATTACTGACCTTTGACACATAGACGGGAGGCAGTCAAGTTTGGGAGGACAGAATCAACGGCATCATCGCTAGGCTCAGTGTCTTTCTGCAGAACAATATTCTGAAAGAGGTTGCCTGTGAAGGTGTCAACCCTGATGGTTCCGACACATGCAATGTCGATCAACGCTCGTTCAAGGCTTATCTCGCTCGATGGATGGCAGCAACGATGGTCAGAGCACCCTTCACTTACCCACTCTTGAAACCCATTTTGGAAACGTCGGCAGCAGCAGCAGCTTCCGTCTGCACAGGAGGCGTCAATGGCACTTCATGTGGATTGAAATGGTGGGCGGGCCAATTTGACGGCAGTACTGGGGTCGGTGAACAAATGTCGGCTCTAGAGGTCATCCAATCCAATTTGGTCACCCAAGTCGCTGGTCCTGTCACTGAGGGCTCTGGAGGAACAAGCAAGGGAGACCCCAATGCTGGCACATCAAGCCCAATTGGTCCCGAGGACCTGAACAAAGAAAAGGTTACCACGGCAGATAAAGTTGGAGCGGCGATCTTGACTGTTTTGCTGGTCTTTTTCATTGTGGGGGGCGCATGGTGGATGGTCCTCTAGACCTGAGATTCCCGTATTCGACACGACGGGCATTGCATTCGGAAGCTAGACGGGGGAGGATGTCTGTTATGATATGACGATTGGCATGAAACCCGGCGTCACGACGCCTGAGATGGGCGGCTGAGGATCTCTTTGGGTGTTTATCAGGAATTATCAGGCGCCTGGGACATATGGGAGCATTTCAACAACCGAGCTGATGAAGCGGTCGGGACTGGGAAGCCGGCATTCCCTTGTGAGAAAAACTTTGCTCAAATAGGCCAAGAGTGGGCGCTCCTTAGCATCAGCATGGGGCGTTTGGTTTGAACGATATTGCTCCATCCAGCTTTGCGCAAATCTTATGCGAACGCTGGCGACTGGAGACACTTCATTCAACGTATTGCTGTTTGCAGATTTTGTACAGATAGGCCGCTCCCAGAGCTCGTCGAGAAATGCAATGGTCCGAATGTCATTTCCCTTCGGCCTGCGCCCGTCTCATCTCCTCCCTAATACTGCCCCTTTCCATTCCCTGCTCGGCTGCTTTCCTCATCCTTTCGGCCTTCTCTCTCTTCTCGGCCTCGGCAGCAACAATCCAAATGGGTTTATCTGATTTAGAATACTCGATTAATTTAGAGACGAATTCCTCATTGTCTTTGATGCGTTTTTCTCGTAGTTCGAGGTTGCGTTTCTGAAGATCGGGATTGAAGCGCTTGAAGACTTCGCCTTCGGTGGGTGTCGTGCTGCGCCAGGTATGTCAGGTAGATGCGTATTAATGCGGAGGTCTCAGCAGAAGGGCAATCGGGCAAAGCTAACACACGAAGATAGGAAGGTGGTCAGTGAGTAGTGTGAGGTCTTACTAGTACATCAGTGCTGGACCTCCGACGCAGCAGAGCACGAACCTGGAGTAGGTCAAAGACATCAGCACAACAGCATCCAAAAGGTTGAATTTTTCTTCCTTACGCCCCAGCCATTTTGGTATACATCCATCCCCGTGAACCCATGGTGGGCTTCGATTTTTATATTCTCGACCGCGCACAACCGACTTCTCAAGGGCCAGCTCTGGACTCTTCGGCCCTGGCTCAGTTCCAATCCGCTCGCGAGGTGTTCATTGGACCGTCACCAGGAGAGGACGTTAGTCAGACACAGAACCGAGGATGGCACGTTGTGCAGCTTTGAGCAGATGGAGGGAATGCAAAAGGGTCGAGATGCGAAATGGGAGATGCGTGATGCACGTCAAGGTCAATGATGCACGACATCTCAACGGACTTGGACTTGGCAGGCTCTGATTGGCGAATGGCCTCCAACCACTCCCTCTCAATTAGGGGCGACAGGAATTTGGGACGCATCCCAGCTAGATGCCTAAAGCTTCGATGTACCGAGTAAATGCGTACCAGTAAATATGTACCAATCTCGGCTGCATTGAAAAGCCGGCCGTAACAAGGACATGTCATTGCGCCAACTCGGGTGATAATGATGGTGCCTTGCGAACGGAGGAGTCGGACGAAGCCAGAGAGGTTGGAGTGAGTGCGCTATTAATGTACGCAACCCTGACAACCGAGGCAGTGACCGGCTGCAAACGAATACCGGGCACAGAGTAGACAGTAACAAGGTCGCCTGGAGCACAGCCTCTTTGGACCAGGAGAGGAGCATGTGTCAGCCGAACCTGGACGCACCAGAGGGTGGCCGCGGCCTCCGAACAGGACCAGCAGGACGAGGCATTGCGTCTTTAATCGGGCGTTGGTAGAGGATTAAATAACTGTTTGTTGTCTGTGTACTCGGTATGCACTCAATGCTAAGACTCCTTATGTGATCTGTCTAAGAACCCGGTAATCTTAGAGCAGTTGGGTGACCCGGTGACGCTCTGGTGTCTGCGAGTCGCCATCACGTGTTGTGAAACAAATCAGCGGCTGGTGGCGCTACTGTTCGTCTCAGAAATCCAGAATCCCGCGTCGGGGGCGGCCTCTGCCTCTTCTTGGTGCGTGGCTGCGCTTCTTTGTCGCAGGTCCAAGCGCCAGATTTACCAGATTTACCCAGCCTTCGTCAGCTTTGCCCTTCCAACCTCCGTCCCAATCTATCTTTCATCCCCCATCAGCACCGAACAATCCTCAATCCCAATCCACCACTTGACATCTTCGCATTCACTTTGACAAACGACTGCCATCGCCCTCTCCATCAACCTCTCCATCTCGACGCCCATATTATCCAACTAACTCCCTTCGCACCTTCGCATCATCCTTTTCCAAGACCGCCTCTACCAAAATGGCCTCAGAAGCACCGTATGATCCCTATATACCAGCTGGCGGACAAGGCGGCGCACAGCCAGCTAGCAACCAGAGAACAGCTGCTTTGCAAGCGGTACGTGAAAGTGAAAGATCGCTTCCATACAGTACACGATGCGAAGAAGACGTCGGAATTGGCGATGGGCAATCTTGCTGCCTGAAGTGTCGCAGATTGAATTTTGCATTGCGAACTCCATCTGGGCACACCAAGTGCATGATGCAGAGTCGAACATCGCCAATTGCGGTAGATGCGTCTTTGAAATCGTTACACTCCATGACCTTTCGACCCGCCCGTCGCCATCTCCGTTCGACCTGAAAGCTGACATGATCATTTCTCACAGCAAATCGACGATACTGTCGGTGTCATGCGTGAAAACATCAACAAGGTGTCACAGAGAGGCGAGCGACTAGACTCGCTGCAAGATAAGACCGACAACCTCGCCGTCTCGGCCCAGGGCTTCCGGAGAGGTGCCAACAGAGTCCGGAAACAGATGTGGTGGAAGGACATGAAGATGCGCATGTGTTTGATCGTCGGCATCATTGTGCTTCTCATTGTCATTATTGTCCCAGCTGGTATGATGCTCCCATTTCCCTCCCGGACCATAACATCAGCGCTGACTTGTTTCAGTGGTCGCTACCCGATAAATGCGGAACCCCGTCCTGAACGAGACCCGAACACTTTTACTTGGAACAGTTATGACAGCACAGTCTTCCCAGCGTTGGAGGAAACACTTGAAAGCGAGAACAACAGCAAATGCGAAAGCGTCATGCGAGCTCTTTTCTGAACCGTGCTCGAGAGCGCTTACGGATGGACGATGGATGGGATGGGGCTACTCCTGTTACAATAATGCACCTTGGGCTTTTTCGCCGTTGTTACTTGGGCGTTCAATAAAATGGATTTCTGCCATCAGTTCTGTAATCAAACCCGAGCATCGTTCTATGGTCCATGGCTTCTCCGTGGTCATCAATGCTCACACAATACGCAAAGGAATTCAAGAAGGCGCCGAAGGACAATGCTGTTATCTATATGAGCCCTACTGCAGCCCGAAAGCGTTTTCATCGCATTCTTCTTCGCTACATGTGACGTTGAACCAGGGAATCCCGCCCACGCCGTGCCCACAGGATGCTCGAGTAAAATTTCAAACCTTGCGCGCTACTATCGAATAGCACAGCGGAGATAAAAGACTGAAGGCTCGCGGGTGATGATCAGCCCCTTCAGGCTAGAAAGCGTGTAGCCATGCGTTCATCATGCAGATTCCTTCGGCAGGCAGGGCGGCGAAGAGAATTTTCAAGACCAAAAAATTTTCCCTCGAGGGTCAACCAAAGAGCTCGTCAAAGGCAATAGAGTGGCACTCGCACTGGCATTGGCACGCCACCGCGATCGGAGACGGAGACGGGAGACGAGAGAGGCTGGCTTCCGCTGGCTTACTCGGCTTCTGGCTGGTGACCTCCAGAGTTGGGGTTGTGGTTGGTTCTGCCACTGGCAATCCTCATGCACAACAACCATCACCCCGCAAAATATTTTGCTATCGAGCAGTTGGCACAGCAGAAAATTTTGACCCAAGGCCACGACTACTGAAGTTTTTTCTTCCCCTGCTCTAATCTCGGGGCATATGGTTCTTTGGCGTTCCTCTCAATAGACCTGCAGTTGGCTTTTCTCTGTTGTTTTTCCCGGATCGCAATCTCCCCTCTTCATCCCTCATACCTCGACCGACTCACTGCGTGAAGACCGTCCACGTCACCCGACTCCCGACGTGTATTCCAGACCTCGTATCAGCTGCCGCATGAATTGAGGACAACCATGTCGGCATTGGGAGCGGCTACTGCGCGAGCAGTCACCCGACGGGGGGCGTCCTCGTCTCTGCGTTCTCGAGCTCTCCGCCTTGCTCGGCCCTCATACACCCCCCTCGCTGTACGGCAGACGTCCTCCCCACGAACATATTCTTCTCCCTCGGGATCCTACCCCTCCACGAGATCTACAGTGGTACAGTTGCTCAGTAATATTGGCTCCAAGAGAGAGGTTCAACAGTACTTGTCACACTTCAGCTCTGTGTCATCCCAGCAGTTCGCAGTCATCAAGGTCGGTGGCGCCATCTTGACCGAGCATCTCCAGACCTTGTCCTCGGCCCTCGCATTCCTCAATCATGTCGGTCTCTATCCAGTCGTGGTCCATGGCGCCGGGCCCCAACTGAACAAGATCCTGGAGGACTCTGGAGTGGAGCCACACTTTGAGGACGGAATCCGGGTCACTGACCCCAAGACGTTGGGAATCGCACGAGCGCTATTCCTCGAAGAGAACCTGCGGCTGGTGGAAGAACTGGAGCGTCTAGGTGTCCGGGCCCGGCCGATCACTTCTGGGGTCTTTACCGCGGACTATCTTGACAAGGAGAAATACAACCTCGTGGGCAAGATCAGACGTGTCGACAAGAGGCCAATCGAGGCTGCTATCCAGGCAGGATGCCTGCCCATCTTGACGTCCATGGCCGAGACATCAGACGGCCAGGTCTTGAACGTGAATGCAGATGTGGCGGCCGGTGAGCTCGCCCGAGCACTCCAACCATTGAAGATTGTCTACCTCTCCGAGAAGGGCGGATTGTTCAATGGTGATACCAAGGAAAAGATCTCCGCCATCAATTTAGACGAGGAGTATGATCACCTCATGCAACAGTGGTGGGTCCGACACGGCACCAGGCTGAAGATTAAGGAGATGAAGGAGCTCCTGATGGATCTGCCGCGCAGCTCGAGCGTCGCCATCATTCACCCGGCTGATCTGCAGAAGGAATTGTTCACGGACTCGGGCGCCGGTACTCTGATCCGACGTGGCAACAAAGTTCATGTTAACACATCTATCGACCAATTCAAAGACCTCGAGAAGCTCAAGGAAGTTCTCATCCGCGACCGTGCCGGGCTTGATGCCAAAGCCATTGTGGATCGCTATATCAAGTTCCTCCAGACGCGGGACTTCAAAGCTTACTTCGATGAGCCGATGGAGGCCTTTGCTCTTGTCTTGCCGCCAGGCGGAGAAACAGCATTGGCCCAGCTGGCTACCTTGACCATTACCAGGAACGGCTGGCTTACGAACGTGGCAGACAATATCTTCGCTGCCATCAAGAAGGATTTCCCAAAGCTGATGTGGACTGTCAAGGAAGATGATGAGAACTTGACCTGGTTCTTCGACAAGGCTGACGGGAGTCTCTCCAAAGATGGCGAAGTCCTCTTCTGGTACGGTCTTGAGACGAGCGATGAGGTTAAAGACCTTATGGTCGAATTCACAAAGCATGGACGCCAGCTGTTCGGCGATATCAATCTCGAGGCCAAGCTGCACCGTGCCGCTAGAGCGGCGTCCAATCTTACCAATGCTGGTCCTCAAGGAGTGACCCAGAAACGAACCTTTTCGACTTCAGTGAATCCTTTGCGGTCAGCACGGCAAGCGAGGTATGTCACAAAGCCAGCTCTGTCTATCCGCACATACTCCACGACAAACCCAAACCCCCCGCTTGGTTCCAAGAACCGTTCAAACAGCAAACCTTCAAGGGTGGCCCTCATTGGGGCTCGAGGCTATACCGGTAAAGCTCTCATCGATCTCCTCAACCGTCATCCGCACATGGACCTACGCCATGTCTCATCGCGAGAGCTTGCTGGCAGGAAGCTTGAAGGATATGACAAGCGCGAAATTATCTACGAAAATTTGACTGTCGAAGACGTCCGACAAATGGAAGAGAACGAAGATGTTGACTGTTGGGTTATGGCTTTACCAAACGGCGTGTGCAAGCCATTTGTTGATGCTATCGATCAGGTCGGCAAAAACAGCGTCATCATTGATCTGAGCGCCGACTACAGATTCGATCCGAGCTGGACGTATGGTCTTCCAGAACTGGTTGACCGTTCCGCGATCGCAAAGGCCACAAGGATCTCGAACCCAGGATGCTATGCTACAGCCGCTCAGCTCGGCATCGCCCCTTTGGTACCGTATCTGGGCGGCCAACCCACAGTTTTCGGTGTCTCGGGGTATTCAGGTGCCGGCACCAAACCTTCTCCCAAGAACGACGTCAACAACCTCACGGACAACATCGTTCCTTACAGTCTAACAGATCACATCCACGAACGTGAGATCTCCTCCCAACTAGGGACACCGGTGGCATTCATTCCCCACGTCGCCGTCTGGTTCCAGGGCATTCACCACACCATCAATATTCCATTGAAACAAGAAATGAAGTCTCGCGATATTCGGACACTGTATCAAGATCGCTATGCCGGTGAGAAACTGTTGAAGATCATTGGGGAGGCTCCACTCGTGAAGAATATCGCCAAAAAGCATGGCGTGGAGATTGGTGGGTTTGCTGTGCATAGCAGCGGGAAGAGGGTGGTGGTTTGTGCAACGATTGACAACCTCTTGAAGGGGGCGGCAACGCAGTGTCTTCGTAAGTTCCAGATCCGGTCATCTGTGGAGATTGCGTATATACTGACCTTTTGCTCGTACAGAAAACATGAATTTGGCTCTTGGCTATGGGGAATACGAGGGCATTCCGCTCGAATAGAAAAGGAGCTAGAATAGAGTATATGGAGGCGCCGACGGCAAGACACAATACCCCAAAAAGCGTTCGAATAAAAGTTTCCGGCCTAATAATACGAGATTCATCAGTGAGCAACGGTCGTCCTTGTTCATAAGCATCATTTTTCTCTCCAGATTCGCGCCGTGACAACATGAAAAAGGAGGGAGACAATCTAAAGAAAGGAGCTCGAGCTTGTCCATATCTCGAAGCACACTCCTTCGGGTTTTCACTATGCCCTTTCAATGTTGGATGGCGTCCGTGAGGTACTCTTTCGGGTGTGAAAGGGTGCGGCAATGAAGATCCCTTACAAGACGGAGAAGATTGCAGAGTCAGGATGTGGGTGTGATGTCGGCTTTGCCTAGGAAGCAGACGTTGTTGAGAGAAGAGGCATGGATGTTAAGGAGGAGAAAAGGAGACTTCCGTGGCCGGACCTGCCCGCCGTTCTCTGTGCATGTATATTCCCTTTTGTCTTTTGTTTCTGAATCGACGATGATGACGTTAAACGCAAAGGTCTGGCAGAATGGCTCGTGTGTAAGCTGGGGGGCAGCCGCTGCTGGATTCACTCTCTTCATTCACTCGCCACTTGACTTCAGCCCAAAATCCGCTCCCAATCCATTGACTTGCGCTTGCTAAATACCAATGACCGACTCCTCCCCTTTCCTCATATCTGCTGCTTGCTGCGGTCGCTGATCGTGTCGTCAATTCCGGTTGTCCGTTTGATATCGTCGAGGTTGAGAAAAAGGCTCCCTGCCGACGTCGAATGAGCTGAAGTCTTTCAATGGTCAAGGCGCCATGTTCTACAGCCACGAAAGTGAGTCCTCTTTCTATCTGGGTACATTGGAAGGTACAACTCGGCTGACGCGGCTTATCCTGCAAAACAGTCCTGACGAATCGTCAGTATGGCGTGGCAACCATCTGGTAAGAACCTCCTCCCTCTGAGACTCATCTCATTGCCTTCGCCTCTCCTCATCGGCATCCCTTCCTTTTTCTCTCTCACTCGCCGCGTTGGGAATTGCCTCCCTTTGCACCTGCGCCTCACTCCTCACCAGGCTTGTTGCAACACTCGGCTCAAAGTCCAACCTGAAAAAGATATCTCGTCGAGCTATCCTTGACGTGGACCTCCAGAAGGCATGCAAGACCATCACGGAGCCCGAGGTGCCCTTGGCGTTGAGGTTGCAGGGCAGTTTGCTGTTTGGAGTCTCCCGCGTGTTCCAGCAGCAATGCGGATATGT